ATCACCCCTGTGCTCATATGTCACTCCTATACAGTAATATCTTGTTTCTGCGTAACATTGCAGGTTGCAACTCAAATATCCTCTATACGAAGGTGCTCCCACCCTTGCCAAAATGGGGGACACAAAGGCTTATTTATCCTTGCATCCATCTCACAGATGATACACGTCCTATCAGGTCTTTATAATTTGGTACCTCATGAATTTAATTGAAAATTTACTATTACCAACATTCTTCATATGACGCCAGAGGGGAGGAGCCAAAAATACCCCCACTAATATATACATATAACAGATATGCAAAGGGCAGCTGCAGTTCTTAGTCTTAGAGATGGTCCTAAGGTTACAATGATAGAAAGGTAGGACTTTATATTTCAGAGGCTCAAGTTAGGATTTTGCTCATCAGATTTAGATCTTTTGTTTTTCTTATTGTTTGTTAATTTAGATCAAATAATGCTTTAGAACTGCTTTTTGAATATGGTAGGCATTAGCTACATGTGTCTTGAGCACTTGAAATGTGACTGGTCTGAATTAAGATGTATTGTAAATGTAAAATGCTGGATTTCAAAAACTTGGTACAAAAATGCAAAACATTTCACTAATAATTTTTCATATGATTACATGTTGACATAATGATAATCTTGGATATATTAGGTTAAATAAAAGACATTAAAATTAATTTCATGTATTTCTTACTTTTTAAAATGTTGCCACTAGAAAATTTAAAATTACACGAAACTTGTGTTATACATCTATTGGACAGAGCTGCTTTAGAAGGCTGCCCGTGTCTTTAATTCCTATGTACAACATAATCAATTAGATGCCACCACAAATACCTGGGGTCAGAAGGCTAGGATTACTACTATAATCCTGCTGTCCATGGTAGTAACCGTTCTCACCTTGTTTCTCATGGTTAATTCCTACCACTTGGACTTCATCATGCTGGAATTCCATTATTTTAATTGAAATTGGGGAGTCCCTCTCAATCGTGATGTATCCACCATTATCTGCATCATCTACTATAATCTCTGGTATATGGAGATTAGCTACCAGAGCCTTCTAAGGATGCTTGTGCTGTCCACTCCAGTGTATTTTGTAACATTTTAATTAGGAAAGGAATATCCTTTGCACTCTTTTTTTTTTGAGCTTTCAACTTTATTTTTTTAATTTAAATTCAATTAATTAACACATAATGTATTGTTACTTTCAGAGGTAGAGTTCAGTAATTCATCAGTTGCATATAACACCCGATGCTCATTACATCATGCACCCTTCTTAATGCCCATCATCCAGTTACTCCGTCTCCCCACCCACTTCCCCTCCAGCAACCCTCAGTTTGTTTCCTATAGTTAAGAGTCTCTTATGGTTTGTCTCCCTCTCTGATTTCATCTTATTTTATTTTCTCTCCCTTCCCCTATGATCCTCTGTTTTGTTTCTTAAATTCCACATGTGATTTCAATCATATGATAATTGTCTTTCTCTGCTTGACTTATTTCACTTAACATAGTACCCTCTAGTTCCATCCATGTTGTTGCAAATGGTAAGATTTCATTTTTTCTCATTGCTGAGTAATATTCCATTGTATATATATACATGACATCTTCTTTATCCATTCATCTATCAGTGGACATCTGGGCTCTTTCCATAGTTTGGCTATTGTGGACATTGCTGCTATAAACACTGGGGAGCAGGTGCCCTTTCAGGTAACTACGTTTGTATCATTTTAGTTCCTCTGCATCTTGAAGAGGATGTAGTTAGGGAAAGGGGAGGTTTTTGGTTTGCTCACATTAAACCACACCCATCTCCTAAGTCTCCATATTATGTCAGGAAAGTACTGGCATTTTGACTTTATTAAGTGATTGTAGGCTGGTGTTGAATTCAACTTACAGCCACCCATCTTAGCAAACTGTTAGAACTAGCTTATTAAATCCAAACCAATCCTATGTATGTTCTGCAGGTTTCTGCTAATATAAGATTAGCAAGATCTTGCATTTCTTTTGCTGCATAAGCTATTTTCTCCTAGAGCAGACTATGCATTTCTCCTCCTACGGCATACTCAGATCTGAATTTAGCCATGGTGACAAAGAGTGGTGGACGTGAGCTTGCAAATCTTCTTGCAAGGCAACTGTCTCAGGCGGGCTCATTAGTTAAGTCTTTAAGCCAGGGAAGGCTAATTATCTCAGACAGGGAGGAGAAGCTGCTTTTGTTGGTAAGGGATGTTTAGAGGGGATTTGAAAGTTTATAATTTTCAGGTTTTTGTCTAATTCCAAAAGCCCTCATCCCATTTCCTACCTTCCTACTTAATGCCCAACTGATGATACGTACTATCTTAACATTAGAAACTTGGTGAGATTCTTCATTCAACTTGTAATGTAATTCTGCAGTCCCCATAACTAGATTTTCTGTCTGGTCTTTAGCCTTTTCAGCCGTGGAGCTATAAGAAATAAGAGATTCTTTTAAAGTAGCATAGAAACTCTGGCTTTCTGACTGTTTTGAACTGAGATTCTAAAGCTCTGAGATTTATCATTTTGTTTTTAAGATTTTATTTATTTATTTGAGAGAGAGAGAGAGGGTAGGGTGAGAAGCAGACTTCCCGCTGAGCAGGGAGCCCGATGTGGGGCTCAATCCGGGGATGTCCCGGGATCCTGACTTGAGCCAAAGGCAGATGTTTAACTGACTGAGCCACTCAGGCGCCCCTGTCATTTTTTTTTTTTAAGATTTTATTTATTTATTTGACACAGAGAGAGAGACAGCGAGAGAGGGAACACAAGCAGGGGAAGTGGGAGAAGCAGGCTTCCCGCTGAAGCAGGGAGCCCGATGCCGGGCTCGATCCCAGGACCCTGGGATCATGACCTGAGCCGAAGGCAGACACTTAATGACTGAGCCACCCAGGCGCCCCTATCATTTTGTCTTTATAAGTTCTCTAACATAGTCACATTTAGCCTTTCTACCCTACAGGTCTTGAAATAAACAATGCTGCCCTAATGGTTAAGTGCAGTTGCTACCTCATCTCCCCAAGGCTTGTCCTCAACTGGCATTTTATTATAAACTGCTCATGATAATTTAAGTAATTGTGATCCCACTGTATGCCATGGATCACTGCAAAAGTATCCCATTTCTACCTGCAAAGGGGTCTTCAGTGATTGACAGGAGGGACTATCCAGGAGAATTTGAAACAACAGAGAAGACAGGGGCGCTGCTGGAAGTAGATCTGGAGCGGGAGAACTACCCTGGGTTCACTACTTCTGCCCTTATAAGTATATCACAAGTGCCTCATCGTGGTCAAACGGGAGAGGCCAGTTGTCAAGGGAACCTGGGAAATGTAGTTCCGACAATACAGAGCATAGCTGTAGAAGAATAGGGAGGGGTCTGGGGGCAAACAGGTGAATGCCTGGCACGACTGGGAATGCCCAGATGTTAACAAAGTTAGTCTTATGAGGGGGGAGACAGTGGGCAGGGAGGGATAGAGTGATTCTGAAACTAAGTTATCTTTTTTTAAGATTTTATTTATTTATTTGACAGAGAGATAGAGAGAGAGCACAGATAGGCAGAGTGGCAGGCAGAGGGAGAAGCAGGCTCTCCGCTGAGCAGAGAGCCCGATGCGGGGTTTGATCCCAGGGCTCTGGGATCATGAGCCAAGCCGAAGGCAGACGCTTAACCGACTGAGCCACCCTGGCGCCCCCAAAATAAGTTATCTTGAATACGTAATTAAGATTCTATAATTTTTTCTTTACTATTAAAAGATATTTGTAAATTCTTATTTTGTAGGCATAAATATTTTGAAGACGTTGACTTTGCTAAAATTTTTTAAAAATAAAAATTACTATTTTTTATCCTTTATACATGGAAAAGTGTGTAATTCTGCTGCACTCTACATATTAACAGCTACTTATGGTAATTTCTGATGTTGCCCTTCGGAAATTCTTTCATCTTTTCTTATCTGATAATGGGACCATCTTTTTCTAGTCTGGTATAGTAGCTCAGTGCTTTCCTACGTGATGCCTTTCTAGCATTCTGTCTCATCCACCATCTCTTTCTTGACCACCAGCAATACATGATTTTGCTTTTCTTTGAACTATTGTAACATTTTTACCTCTTTTATAAAACTTGTCCCATATGCCTTTCTATAACATTTCATTACTTGCGATCTGGGACTCTATAATGTTTGTTTTTATATCTTTCACTGTACCTGACACATAGGAAGTATTTACTATTACTTAATGGATTACTGATTAGATCATAGAATTTTGGAGTGGGAATGGACTTTATAAGTCATTTAGTTCTGATTCTCTGACTTATCTTCTGTCGCACTACTCATGAAAAGTTATTAGATAAATTAGATCTAGTTATTAAATATCTAGTTGTCTCGATATTAGATAAATTAGATATTAGTTCATTAAAATCCCTGCAAAATTGGCACTTTTATTACTTTGTGCTCCATCAGTAATGTCATAATCAAGAGAAATAATGCAGACAATATTTACTGAACTATGCTTTGATGCAGTTTGCTTCTTGACTTCATTTAAGGAATAGGAAGTGGAGAGGAGAGAATGAATTTTAAAGTACTTACTATGTGTCATTTTTCACTTCTTAGCCATGACTGTTTCTGATTAAAACTTGCAATTTTTAAGGACTCCTGGCAGGCTCAGTCAGTAGAGCATGCGACTCTTGATCTTGGGTCATGAGTTCAAGCCCCACATTGGGCATAGAGCCTACCTTTAAAAAAAAAAAAAGTTGCAATTTCTCTTTATTTTTATAGGATTATATAAGCATTTTTTGTTTTTTTTCTCTAGTGGATTCTCTAAAATTAGAAAACTAATGAGTGTCATTTGGTAAGGCTAGTGCTTCTTTTCCAGTCTTTTAGAAAAATATAAATTCATAAATTCTTGTCTTATCAATATTATAGAAACATTTCTCTAAGACATTTAAATGTTTGGGTGCACGATCTCATAATCTTGGTGCCATATTTTAATATTGGTTCATGATCTCGAAATCTGTTTTAGCTGGCAAGCTACGAGAGCCAGATTGCCAAGCTGCGATCTGAGGTTGAAAAAGGAGAGGCATTGCGACAAAGTCTGGAATATGACCTGGCCGTTGCTAGAAAGGAAGTTGGTCTCGGGAGACGGGCTGCTGAAGAAAGATTAGCTGAGGCACATAGGATCCAAGAAAAACTCTGTGGTAAGACTATTCTATTTTTTCCCGTGTTTAGGGTTTTAATCTTATTGTGTAGCATCGCTCACTTTGCGTATGTTCACCATATGGTGTCAGGGGTAGGCCTTTGATGGACACACCCTTACTGGGTGTGTATAAAGTCTTCTAGCACTCATGTGAACATTCAGCTACTTTACATTAATTTTTTGTATGTTGTGCATGTGAAAAAGGGGTTCAAAATTCTGTTAATCACTTTGTAGAGCAGTTGTTCCATGAATAATCAATCAGCAGAATCACATAGAGATTAAAAAAAAAAACATTCACAGGCCCCTGGTCACATGTTTTCTGAATTAGAATTTCTAGCTTGAGAGAGTATATGTTCAAGAAGGACTGCAGGTGATTTTGTTGATTGGCTAGGTTTGGGAACCACGGGATTAGAGGGTGGTGCCTAGAAAAGTAAAATGTAGTGGATTTAATTCTCAAAAGCTGTCTGTTATGTAGCATATGAGCACTTAAAAATATTTTTATTTGAGTACAATGTAGGTGAGCGCCTGGATGGCTCAGTCGGTTAAGCGTCTGCCTTCGGCTCAGGTCATGATCCCAGGGTCCTGGAATCGAGTCCCGCATTGGGCTCTCTGCTCGGTGGGGAGCCTGCTTCTCCTTCTGCCTGCTGCTCCTCCTGCTTGTGATCTCTCTCTGTCAAATAAATAAAATCTTAAAAAAGTATAACATATGTAAAGAAATGTGCCTAATGTAAGTATATAATAAGAAGCACCCAGATCATGGAATGGAAAATTACCAGAAGTCCTTCCACATGGATTTATTTATTTATTTATTCTGATTTTTTTTTTTAAGATTTTATTTATTTATTTGCAGAGAGAGACAGCTAGAGAGGGAACACAAGCAGGGGGAGTGGGAGAGGGAGAAAGAAGCAGGCTCCTCACTGAGCAGGGAGCCTGATTCAGGACTCAATCCCAGGACCCTGGGATCATAACCTGAGCTGAAGGCCGATGCTTAACGACTGAGCCACCCAGGCATCCTATTTATTCTGATTTTTAATAGCAAGGATAAATTGTGCCTCTTTTTTGTACTTCATATTAAATGGAATCATATAAAATGTACTCTTTTATGTCTGGCGTCTTTCCTTCGACATTGTGTGAGTTCATCCATATTGTTGTATGAACTTTGTATTGATGCTTAGTATTACATTGTATGACATACCACATTTATTTATCAATTTCCTGTTAATGGGCACTTGGGTAATGTTGCTATGAACATACCTTTTTTTTAAGCTTTTATTTTTAAGTAATCTCTATACCCAATGTAGGGCTCAAATTAACAGCCCTGAGGTCAAGAATTGCATGCTTTACTGACAAGCCAGCCAGGCGCCCCAGTGTTGTTATGAACATTCGTGTATGCAGCAGGTTTTAATTAAGAGAACGTTGAACCTGAATTCAGAAGATTTAGATTTAGAGCCTGGTTTTACCACTTACTTAGTGACATTTGAGCGTAGGTTGTTTTAAGGATGAAGTGAAAAAAATGAAAGTTCTTTGTTAACCACATGGGACTAAGCAAGTGTTAACTTGCAGTTACTGTAAAGGTTCTAGGCCCAAGTTGTCGCCAGCTGTCTTGGGTTATTGCCACTGGTCAGAAGTATTTTTGATTACGTCTGGCATTTAATAACCACAACACTATCTGGAACTTATGAATATAAGAATTGAAAGGCACTAGATATACAAGTTAGTGACTTTGATTTAATAATGAGGTTGAAGTCCAGGGAAGATGGGAAGTTATTTTCCCAAAGGCAAATGATTTCAACAGACACTTTATAGAGGAAGATAGAATAGCCATTAATGAGATGAAAAATGCTTAACCTTACTTGTCTTCGGAGAAATGCAAATTAAAACCACAATGACTGTTTATTACATACGTATTAGGTGGTGCTAATTGGAAAGACTGTCAATACCAAATGTTGGTAAGGATGTAGAGCAACTGGAACTCTTATATTTTGTAAGTGGGAGAGTAAATGGTACAACTACTTTGGGAAAAAACCTGTTAAATCTCTTTTAAATAAACAGTTGGCAGACAACTTGTTAGATTGTCAAAAGTTTGTGAACTGGAAGCACCAGATACTCTGGAATTAGGAATTGGAATAGCAGTAGTAGGTAAAATAAGGAGGGTTAAATGAAAGCTTTTTGCTTTAGAGGCAATTGCATTTTTAGATCTTCTTCCCAAGAGCAGTGTACTCTGGGATTTCTCTCACTTTCTAGTGGGAACTGGGAGTTGGGTGGCTTAATCTCTGGAGATGATAAAATACAGGGTCTCCAGACTAGCAAAACCAGGAAGATAGCATACTCAATGCTGAATATTGAGAAAGTATTTCTTCCAGCCTCCTTTTTCAATTGGTTTCTCCAAAAGCTAGCACCCAGATTTCTGTTCTCTATGTGGGAGCTTAGAAGACTCTTCTATAGATCATCTGACCAAACCAAAAGGAAAAACCTAATGATACTGATGTTGGGAGTCTCCTAATAAATGGCCCACCAGATTCTCCTCCAGTGAAGGACCACAGTTATCAAGCCCTATATCCTCAAGTTCAGAATCTAGGTGGTGGGTATATGGGTGGGTATATGAGTGTGTCACCTTTACAGTTACCTTAATTGAGAGAAGACAATCAAGAGTTACCAGATGCTTGGGGAGAGCCTCTAAAATGGAGAGAAAAAAAATAATTTGGAAGAATTAGAAACTGCAGGGAAAAGAAGATTTAACAAACAAGTAGCATTAATATCTTCAGAGCTGAAAGAGAGTATATTTTATCCATGATACAAGAACCAGATGCTATAAAAAAAGGGGATGCTCTTAGAAATTAGAAATATGAACTCAGGAATGAAAAATGTCATTGGGAGATGAAGATGGAAGAAATCTCCTAGCAATTAGAGTAAAAAAGGCAGAGGTGGAAAAGCAGGAGAGAAAAGGCAAGAAAATTTGAGGGTCATTTTGAATAATAGGTAATATTGAAAGAAGAGATAAGAGAAAAAACAGGGAGGGATAAATCAGCAATGAAATTATTTAAGAAGTCATCTCAGAACTAAAGGTTATGAGTTGCCAGATTGAAAGGGCCCATTGAATATTCACCACCAAGACAAGAAATAGACCCACCTGAGGGCAAAGCATTATGCAACTTCAGAAAAATAGAGACAAAGTGAAGATCCTAAAGCTTTTCAAAGAGAAAAGACACAAAGCACACAAAAAGGAAAATAGGCCACATGCAAAGGAACAGGAATCAAATGGCCTTAAATTTCTTGCCTGCAATCTGGGATGCTAGACCATGGAATAATGTCATGTAGAGAGAGTAACTGGATTAGGGGGAGATTTTTTGTGCCTTTTATACCTTTCAATTTTGAGCCTTTTGAACATATGATCCATTTGAAACACAAACATTGTTTGTTTGTTTATTTTAGTTTCAGAGGAAGAGTTTAGTGATTCATCAGTTGCATATAACACCCAGTGTTCATCACAAGTGCTCTCCTTAATGCCCGTCACGCAGTTAACCCATCCCCCCACCCCCTCCCCTCCACTAAACCTCAGTTTGTTTTCTATAGTTAAGAGTCTTTTATTGTTTGTCTCCCTCTCTGATTTCGTCTTTTTTTATTTTTCCCTCCCTTCCCCTATGTTCCTCTGTTTTGTTTCTTAAATTCCACCTATGAGTGAAATCATGTGATATTTGTTTCTCTGACTGACTTACTTCACTTAGCGTAATACTCTCTAGGTTGCAAATGGCAATATTTCATTCCTTTTGATGGCTGAGTAATATTCCATTGTGCACGCTCGGGCGTGCACACACACACACACACGCATATATATACCCCATTGTCTTTATCCATTCGTCTATTGATGGACATCTTGGCTCTTTCCATAGTTTGGCTATTGTGGACATTGCTGCTATAAACGTTGGGGTGCAGGTGCCTCTTTGAATCACCATGTTTGTATCCTTTGGATAAATACCTAGGAGTGCAATTGCTGGGTTGTATGGTAGCTCTATTTTCAACTTTTTGAGGAGCCTCCATACTGTTTTGCAGAGTGGCTGCACCAGCCTGCATTCCCACCAACAGTGTAAGAGGCTTCCCCTTTCTCTTGCCAACATCTGTAATTTCCTGACTTGTTAATTTTAGCCATTCTGACTGGTGTGAGGTGGTATCTCATTGTGGTTTTAATGAACACAAATATAATTTAAAAATAATACTACTAACTGTGGCTTTTTTTTTTTTTTCTATTTGGTTTGTTTAACAGGTGCGTTTGTATGTATCTCTTCATTTTATCTTCACAGCAGCCTCACTAGGAGGCATTTTATTCCCTTTAAGGGTTAGAGAGTCAGAGAGGTTTAATCAGGTGGTGGGTGATGGAGCCAGACCTATAAAGGTTTCATTGCTTCTTTTCTAGATGCTGAAATAGAGCAGCAGCCACAGTGAGTTGAGAGGTGTTAGTTACTGTCGAGGTAATACTAGGATGAGAGGGGAGCTGAGCCTAACCTTGGTGGAGTCAATAGCTAGGGTTCTAAGGGCTGGAACAGTGGCTTCCAACCTCAGTTTTGTGGCAGCCTCACATGTAAGTGTGTTACAACTAATTTGTTGCCAATAGTCAAATAATCAGAATTTGTAATCTATCAAGTGTTTTTAAAAAGTAGCCCTATAGATCACAGTTTAAAAAACCCCACAGCATTTGATTTATTTTCTTGAATAGGAGAAACGTAGTAGAATTGCAGTTGGTGCTAGAGGTGCACCTAAACTTGGGCATGCCTCTAGGAATATGTCCTGCCATTTTATGGCAAAATCACCTTTGTCTGGAGAGGAAGAAGAGATTGAGAAATTAGAGAATAGATTGTTCTGGAACAGTGAGTTTTTCAAGTTGACTGGTGTGAAGTGGTTAAATGTTTTGTTCTAAGATCATGTTGTAGATGGAGTCAACTCCAATGCCTTGGTGTTTGAACTCCTAGGGGTTTAATTTGTGGTTGTAAGTATACCTATTATTCTTTTATATTTTTAATAGCTCAGAATGCAGAACTTCAAGGAAAGGCTAATGAGATCGAGAAGGCATTCCAGACTTCCCAGCTGAAGTGGAAAGAAGAATGCAGAAAATTTGAACATGATTTGGAGGAAAGAGACAATATAATTCAAAATTGCAACCGAGAATATGATTTACTTATGAAAGAAAAAAGCAGACTAGAGAAAACTGTACAGGTAAATTATTATTGTTTTTTTAAAGATTTATTTATATTAGAGAGTGAGAGAGCACGTGTGCATGCTGGGGGAGGGGCAGAGGGAGAGGGTGAGAGAGAATCTCAAGTAGACTCCCTGCTGAGCGTGGAGCCTGACGATGTGAGGCTCGATCCCAGGACCCCGAGATCATGACCTGAGCCAAAACCAAGAGTTGGATGCTCAACTGACTGAGCCACCCAGGCACCCACCAGGTAAATTGTTTTTATAAAGGAATTTTTCTAGATTCATTGAGGTGTGTTTCACATTATTTGAAGTTATCCTTGGAAAGGAAAATATCTACCAGAAATCAAGAAAATCTGATTTCCTCCTACCCACCCTCCCTTCTCTCCCTCTCTTCTTTCCTTTCAGGGGCATTTTTGTGGGTCTCTTTTGTAATATGCTTTAGCAATATATTAATAATATGTATGCTGTTTTCTTTTGTGAAAAAGAGTTTGAGATCTCTGATCAAACTAAAAGAACTCACTAATGTAGAAGTATAAGAAGATGAAAACCTCCAGTCCTTTAGGTTCAACAGTACGAAAATTTGGAATTTTAGAAATGTGGGTGCTAGATTTTGGTCTGAATATACAATAAATGTAAAAAAATTATATATGATATGGACTTCATGATCTATGTAGAGTACATTCTATATAGATATGACATGAAAAATATTTGATGACCTTTTACTGAAATTATTTGAGCTATTTCTTTTTCTATTCTTTTTTTTTTTTTTTAAGATTTTATTTATTCATTTGACAGAGATAGACACAGCGAGAGAGGGAACACAAGCAGGGGGAGAAGGAGAGGGAGAAGCAGGCCTCCCGCAGAGCGAGGAGCCCGATATGGGACTCGATCCCAGGACCCTGGAACCATGACCTGAGCCGAAGGCAGACGCTTAACGACTGAGCCACCCAGGCGCCCCTCTTTTTCTATTCTTTTTTTTTTTTTTTAAGATTTTATTTATTTGACAGACACAGCAAGAGAGGGAACACAAGCAGGGGGAGTGGGAGAGGGAGAAGCAGGCTTCCCACGGAGCAGGGAGCCCAATGCGGGGCCCGATCCCAGGACCCTGGAATCACGACCTGAGCTGAAGGCAGCCGCTTAATGACTGAGCCACCCAGGCGCCCCTCTTTTTCTATTCTTTGTTCTTTTTTTCTTTAACTCTCTAACGTGAAAGTACGGTGTAAGGTTGAAGTTGCCAACCCCTTAACAGAGTTTGAATTGCCTATATTTGTCATTTGTTTTGAAGCACCAGTTTAAATTAAAAAAAAATACACGATAGAAATGCTTTCCATTTACCACTGGTGTAAATGGCTTTTCAGAACTCCGGAGAAATAAGTCTTTATTAGGAGTAATTTTACGCAAGCGTTTACTAAATGTAAAAGTTTCAGTACAAGGTTCCGTGGCATTGTCAGCAGATCTGATTTCGTCCATTTCAGACACAGTTTGTCTCTTCCTTTAGTGTTCTGTTCCCAGATCCTCCAACAGTGCTTTCCGTGTGCCAGGGCTCCCCCATCTGAATGGGCGGAGTTTGGGTGGCTACAGGCGCCCCAAGTGCCGCGGTGGCCGTGTATCACCTTCCCCACGTAGAAGGTCTCGAGCCATGGGGAAGGAAGCATAATGGCAGCGTTATCGTCAGTCACTCAGCCCGCACCTCAAGTTATAAGATCTTTCTGCGATTTGGCTCAGCTACTTGATAGGAGAACTCTGCTTGATTTTATGCCCCTGGCTTTGAGCTGATCTGCACAGACTAAGGGGGAATATGGGGTTGAATAGGTGACACACTAGCCGGAAGGGGAAAAAGCTCAAGGCCCTTTGTGATGACTTAACATTAGTGAAAATTATAAGGGTCATCTCTACTATGCAGATCCCTGCTACTGTTTTTTTTTTTTTTTTTTAAAGATTTTATTTATTTATTTGACAGAGAGAGACACAGCACAAGTAGGCAGAGTGGCAGGCAGAGGGAGAGGGAGAAGCAGGCTTCCCGCTGAGCGGGGAGCCCAATGCGGGGCTCGATCCCAGGACCCTGGGATCATGACCTGAGCCGAAGGCAGCCGCTTAGCCGACTGAGCCACCCAGGCGCCCCCCTGCTACTGTTTATATGGACACAGAAGTTTTCTCTCCTTCCTATATCAACCACACAATCTTTCTCCTTGTGTTAATGGGAACTTCGTTTTAAATTGAGTTTCTTGGGGAACCTGCATTTTATATATATATATATATATATATATATTTTTTTTTTTTTTAGTAGATTTTTAAAAAGATTTTATTTATTTGACAGAGAGAGACACAGTGAGAGAGGGAACACAGGAGGGGGGAGGGGCAGAGGGAGAAGCAGACTCCCCGCTGAGCAGGGAGCCCGATGCGGGGCTCTATCCCAGGACCCCGGGATCATGACCTGAGCTGAAGGCAGCCGCTTAACAACTGAGCCACCCAGGCGCCCCTATATTTTTAAGAGTTTGACCAAGTTAGATCTTATAAATGTAGTACAACTAGGAAAACCCAAGAAGAAAAGCCTTTTGCAAGTATTATCTGTAGAACAAGAAATTAGTCGCAGTCCAAACCTTAAAATTTTGACTTTTTAAGTGTTTAACATTGTAGCATTTCCTTATCCTGATTTGTTGCACGAAATTCCTTTCTTATCACCTTTCGTAAATACAGTGTACTCTGTGAGTTTTTTTTTTTTCTTTAAGATTTTATTTATTTGACAGACACAGCGAGAGAGGGAACACAAGCAGGGGGAGTGGGAGAGGGAGAAGCAGGCTTCCCACCGAGCAGGGAGCAGGCCTTGGGGCTGGATCCCAGGAGGAAGGCAGCTGCTTAATGACTGAGCCACCCAGGTGCCCTCTCTGTGAGTTTTATATGTAAATTACGAGGGATAATCCAGACAGCTTGTTCATAGGTAATTAGAACTTTCCATATTATCTACTTTACCTATAGATTTACATATAGATTACATATATTCTATATGCTGATGAGCAAAATATAATATATTTCTATTAATGATTTTAACATAAATTATGAGTTTTAGCCATCTATAGGTAAGGAGAGCCCTTTGTACACTTGAATTGGGGATGAAGGAAGAAAGATGACTTTGATTGATCTAATAGTAAAGCAAGATTTTATTCATATAAAGGAAGCGTTGGAAAAACAGCAGGAGAAGAATGAGATGGAGTCTCATATCAGGGAGACAGCACTGGAGGAGTTTAGATTACAAGCAGAACAATGGGAAGCAGAAAGAAGAGAGTTACAGTTTATAGTACAGGTATTTTAAAAATAATAATTCAGTTCCTTAAATATGTCTTTTTTAATGCTTATGATATTAAAAATTACATTAGTGCAATAATTGGCTAGCTTACTCAACACAAAAATGATTCCTAATCTTTGATCTCTGGAAGGTCATGTTTCATTTGTGGTTATATGACAATATGGGCAACCGTAACGAGAAGATACTATCAGAATTAGAGTTGGGTGACTTCTGTTGCATAAATTATGTTTTTTGAGACATGTATACATTTGGGATTTTATTTTCCAGTTTAAAATATGAGACTGTTCACAATCTTTAATAGCATAAAGAAATAGAAAGATTGGATTTTAGTTATTAAAGGATACTTATAAATTAATATAGCATAGTGATTTTCAACTCTTTTTTAAAGAACAAATTAAAAAAATTTTTTTTATTTAAATTGAATTAATTAACGTATGATGTATTATTAGTTTCAGAGGTAGAGGTAGTGATTCATCAGTCTTATGTAACACCCAAGGCTCATCACATCACGTGCCCTCCTTAATGTCCATCACCCAGTTACCCCATCCCCCCACCCCTCCAGCCTTAACGACTGAGCCACCCAGGCACCCCAAGAAGAGCAAATTCTTAATCGTGTTCTGTTTACTCCTTTCCCCCAACACACAGAATCCCCAAGGCTTCAGATAGTCTGGTTGGAAAAGAACTGATTATATCCAACCCCCATTGTAGATGAGCAGATGGAGATTATGATTTACTCAGATCATAGACCGAGTGATTAATGTGGGAAGACTACCAGTCAACAGATTCTCACTTTGGTATACTGTGCATTTTTTTCAGGAGATTATATGTAAGTTATTTTGAAAGAGAGATAAGAGAAATTCAAACTGTTAATTCACTGACCAATTAACTTAAAATTTAAAATAAATTTCCATAATTTCTTCTATTACTTATTTTGTGATAAGAGATTTTTCTCTATACAAAATGACAAATTGAAATATAGTCTTTGTAGACATCCAAGATACACATTGTATGAATGAAAAATATCTATCTAAAATAAATTTTGGAGTAGTTTTATGTTCCAAGCAACTCTGCAAGACAAAGGCAGCCAACAACGTGCAGATAATAAGAGCCATCTTATTTCTTTAAGAGTGAAAACTGGCAGTAAACAGTGGAAATACTGAATTTGTTGAATATGTAAGTATTCAAAATACCAGCAAATCCATGGCTTTTCCAAACCTTTGGTCTTGGACAATGATTTTCTTACCAGTCACTCCATCTGTAGAATCTGGAAAGACATTACAATCATTCTTTAGACCTCTTGGTATTCTTAGAGTCTGTAATTTGTGGCCTTTCCTTTCTTCCTCCCTCCCACCCTCCCTCCATGCCTGCCTGCCTTCCTTCCTTCCTTCCTTCCTTCCTTCCTTCCTTCCTTCCTTCCTTTCTTCAAGTACATACTGAGTTTCTGCTATGGGTACTGAGGATACAAAATTGATGAAGATATGATTTCTGTCCTTGAAGATCTTAAAACAGAGAGACATGTAAAGAGAGAAAATATATTGAAATATAATAAATTTTGAACAAAATGCTGTGGGATCATGAAAGAGAAATTGATTAACTGCCTAGGAGATTGGGGAAACCATCACAGAGCAGATAACATTTGAACTGTTGTTGATAATTGTCTTAATGGCTACCTGAAACAAACAAGTAAACATAAGTAAATGAAAATAAACTCTTCATTTCTGAACACTCAGAAATCTCCAGTGCCAATAGTCAGAAGCCCGAAACTTGTAAATATGATTCAAAAGCCTTTATATTTAAATGTGTGGATGATGTGATTTTAGATGCAGTTTTTTGGTCAATCCTATAAACCTTAGATGAAATGTATGTGGTTATGACAGACTTTATATTATGAAGTACTAAAGGAATAATGTATCCGTCTTTTTTTGTTTTTAAGATTTTATTAATTTTTTAAAGTAATCTCTACACCCAACATGGGGCTCGAACTCACAACCCTGAGATTGAGTCACATGCTCCATTGACCAAGCCAGTCAGGCACCCCAGTATCAGGCTTTAGTTACTACGTATGGGAAAAAATAGGGAATATACTCCTTAGTTACTACCACCTTTTGTAGATAGTTTTTTAAAGTTTTTATTTAAATTCCAATTAATTAACCTACAGTGTAATATTAGTGTAAGATAAGTTTTATTGTAGTTTGTAACTGAAATGTTCAGAGCTCAGGCTCTCAATTTCTTGTCCTTTTAATATTAACAAAAGAAAACTGTTTTGCCTTTTTAAAGCAAGTTTAAGAAACTATTCATATTTTTAAAAGTCTTTTTTTAAACAACTCGAGGGATAGATTGGAATTCTCTTCTCTATTGGCTGTTGATGGGTTTAGGTTTCCATCCTATAATTAGATGTTAGTATGGTATAGTGTTCTCTTTGTGTAACTCTCTAAGGGAATTCAGTTTTTAAAATAAGTTTAAAAAAAAAACGCTTCTAAGTGAAACCCCATCTTTAACAGACAAAGCAGGTGTAGTATTTCTTTCATCTGGGCTTTAGAATTCAGTCCCACTATAAAAAAAAATCTTAATTTTATGCCATGTCTCTTTTCTTTCCTAGTAATTGAAACGCTAAATAGAGGTGTACTTCTCTGGAATATTAATGGGAACTCTAGTGCAGTTACCTCATTTTAAAAAAGTGTTTCTCATTTTTTTAAATGCATGTCCTCTTTCGATAAACATAAAAACTCCATGTCTTTCTTTAGCATTATTTGAAATTTCAAAACAAATCAAAGCCAGAAAAACCCCCAAACAAATCAAAGCCAATTTAACTTAAAAACAAAGTATTTATGTTGATTTTGAAATATATATTCTAATTTTTTGGTCTCTATTTATTAAAAATTTCAATTTAAAATGGCTGTTTGTTGTGTTTTTATTTATTTTTTCCTCATTCCTGCTCTAGCAATGGGAATTTTGAGGATGCTTATTTGTTGTTGTTTTTATTTAAGATTTTATTCATTTATTTGACACAGAGAGCACGAGCATGGGCAGGGGGGAGGGGCAGAGGGAGAAGGAGAAGCAGGCTCCCCGCTGAGCAGGAAGCCCCACATGGGGCTTGATCCCAGGACCCTGGGATCATGACCTGAGCCAACTTGAGCCAAAGGCAGATACTTAACCAACTGAGCCACCCAGGCGCCCCTTCATAATCTATAATTTATCAGTAGGATTGAAAGCATTTAGAAAATGTATATTTTTTTCGTATTTATCTTGTTTTCCAAATTCTAGAACTCAACCAGGGAATAAAATGATCCTTTCCTCCTTCATTGACTAAATTTAGTTTAAGTATCTAGTGATTAAGGGATGGGAGAGTCTGTAATGGCAAAAACAAAGGAGGAATGTGGATTGAAAATAACAGCATACACTAAGGAGGAGGGAGAGTGGGGGGGGGGTGCGGAGCAGTAAAGAAGGTATCAGGGCCGGCTTAGGCATCAGTGGGCGGGATATTAGGAGTGGAGGCAACGTGTGGAAGATTGACCCGGTAGGCACAGTTGTGATCTAGGGACAGCTTGGAGGAAGCTCCATTGGAAACGAAGTATTTCAGAAGTTTGCCTGAAATGGTCTAGAGCAGCAAGGAGCATTTCTTTGCGGTTTCCTAGGAAACTGCCCACTGGTGCCCTGTGTAAGCGAGCAGCATAGACAGTGACTCCGGCTCTGGTATTGCCTGTTGTTTCCAATCAGGAAATAGCTTTATATTCAATTTATAAAATTACTATATATTGTGCTCATTGTGAAAAATGTCCTCATTTAGGGAAATTTAAAAGCAAAAATGAAGGTCCTATGACTCCCCCTCGAATCCCACTCCTTTTCTAAGGGGATATAAATGTTTATCACTGTATTACATAAACGGAATTCTATTCCTCGGTATGTTTGGTGTCCATCTTTTGATATCCTTATATTTTTCTTGTAGCGTTTGCATGGTTTTCTGCCATGTGGACATTCCCAATATATATTAAGGAATCCCTTATTGAAAGACATTTTATTTCCTTCAAAATTTTGCTCTAATCAAGATTTGGGGCACCTCGCTGGCTCAGTCCATAGGGCATATGACTCTTGATCTTGAGGTTGTGAGTTCAAGCCCCATGTTGGGCATAGAGCTTACTTTATAAATTTTTTTTTAAGATTTTATTTATTTATTTGAGAGAGAGACACAGAGCGTGAGAGAGAGAGAGAGCAAGCATGAGCAGGGGGAAGAGCAGAGGGAGAGGGAGAAGCTGATTCTCCAATGAGCAGAAAGTCTGACGCAGGGCTCCATCCTAGGACTCCAGGATCATAACCTGAGCCAAAGGTAGACACCCAACCATCTGAGCCACCCAAGCTTACTTTAAAAAAGAAGAAAAAAAAAAAAAAAGGAAAAAATGATCCAGTAACCTTCCTGGCCATATCTCTGAGCTGTTGGACAAGTGATTGAACTGTGTAAATGCCTAAAAGTATCACTGCTTGGTGTGCAAGGTTATGGATTTATCATTATGATCGCTATTACACAAAGTTAGTACCAGTTTACACTCTGTGGCTGCTAACACTATTTCTGATTGTAGAACTGTGCTGGCTTTGGGGATTTCAGGAGATAAACATGTACTAGGTTGAGATGGTAACTAGCTAAATTGATCTATTTCTTAAGGTAGGAAGGAGGAGTACCTTAGCTCTGATATGTTTCTAACTATACTTTTATAATTTTCAGACTTAAAACCATATTTTTGAGTCTGAGAAATGTTGTTTATATGAGTACATATAAAAACTGTATTTTTTGGGCTGTGTTTCTGAAATATGTGGACAGAAAGCAAGTTTATTTTCTAGTAGCACAATGTGGTTTCCTGCAATGGTAAATGTCAGTTCAAAAAGAAGCCCCATTTTAAAATATTTTAAGTTCAACATCTCCCTCTAGTGGACAAAAGAAAAACTCCTTCAATTTCCATTGTCCTTAATAATGATTTTGTTATAAACCCACACACACCACACTT